AGATAGATAGATAGATAGATAGATAGATAGATAGATGTTAAATGTACAAATATTTTTACTATAATTTTCCCAAATTCTATGTACTAATACTGCTCTTTACTGTATGCAATATAATTTTATAATGTCACATTAATATACCTTTTTGTGTCCACAATCAAACTGCAATGGACTATAATGTGTTTCACTCATGCGGCCCATTAACTGACATTACATTAAAACTGTATAAAATAGATTTGCTGTGAGTTTAACTCCATCAGCACAGCACAAATAATAATAATAATTCATTATATTTATATAGCGCTTTTCTAGGCACTCAAAGCGCTTTACATTGTCAGGGGGTATCTCCTCATCCACCACCAGTAGAATAAATAGGCGCCGGGAGCACACATCATTCACTTCTTCGTCTGAAGCTTGCGTCCGCAGCATGGCAAGAAACCCTCTTGTCGAAAGACATCCTGGGATTTTTAATGACCACAGAGAGTCAGGACCTCGGTTTAACATCTCATCCGAAGGATGGTGCTTGTTGACAGTATAGTGTCCCCGTCACTACACTGGGGCGTTAGGACCCACACAGACCACAGGGTGAGCTGCTGGCCTCACTAACACCTCTTCCAGCAGCAACCTAGTTTTCCCAGGAGGTCTCCCATCCAGGTACTGACCAGGCTCAGCCCTGCTTAGCTTCAGTGGGCAACCAGTGGTCCCAACCAAAATGGAGGGACATGTGCCCATACATCCCACCCACAGGGATAATAACATCTCTCATTATACGAGAGCGTTCTGAATGACTGGGGTGGGGGCTTTCCCCTCTAAGTAAACAAGATGAAAAAAAATAGTTATTTGATATCTATCTGTCCATCTGTCTTCTTGAAAGCAAAAAGGTTTATCACCCCATGGTTTTATCAGTTTTAGGCAGATGTGAGCAGACCTAGGAGACCTAGCAACCCCGATACATGGGTAATTTATATTTCACGGGGAAGACACTTAAGCCCATCCATTTCCATGCTCAGAGCAGTATGTTAAGAGAAGAAACTAGCTTGTTTTCCAGAAGGCTTCTGTATTAGACACAACAAAGCATTTGATTTGACATCCATGCGCCTCAGCAGCCTTGTGTGTTAAAATCCTCTCACAATTTGCAACTAATTCATTTCTTAATGCTTTCTGTGAAGCCTTAAAGTTTTACAAAGAATAAAAATATCTGCTTTTCTTTCTCAGCCGCGATGAGGGGTGGCACACATCCGCAAAACATTACATTGTAAACCCAGAACAAGATCTATTAATAGGCTGTTCTTTATCTGCTCATTAAGAAATCAATAGGATACGTCCACATTTGAAACAGGATGTAACCTTTGCGCCTGAGACTGATCTGATATCATCAGAAAATCCTCATATCTTGCATGTGTTCAATTATAGCTGCTGGGATACTCCAGAGTCTACTTACAGCTGTGTGGGAGCGTGACTGATTCGTTCGCATTTGAGTCAAACTCATAATTAAATCCATGAATGTCCGACACAGAGGCTGAGACAAACCCATGGCATTGTGGCTTGTTTATGTGACATGATTTTAGCATTTGTATGGCTGCGAGTTATGCAAGCAAATGAGCCAAAGCATGTGTAGTAAATCCACACTAAATCTTTTTCTCTTTTCCGTGTGTTTCTTTCTGCTCTTTGGAGTAATCCCATCATTGTAGAGCATTTCCAGTGTGGAACGTTTACCGCGAGTACTTCCATATGCCGTTTACATGCTCCTAGCCTGTTTGCACACAGCTGCTAAGCTATGCAAATAGCAACACAAACTCAACACATATACGCATAGAAATTATTGCATGATAAATATGTGTGAAGAGAGATGGGCGGTTTTAATGGGGAAAGGGAAGGCATTGCCTAGTACATAATAAAATAGGTAACGCTTTAGAATGATTAGAATGAAGTCCCATCATTAATAAATAACTGCACAGGAACAAATGAGCACACAATATTAACATAGTAACTACTCTTAAATAACAAGAAACTCTGATTAATGAATTAGTAAGTAATAGCACTCTGTTGAATGTGGTAGTTCACTATTATCTATTCATAACTACTAATCCCACCCCCCACAGGAACAACTACTTTTTTTTATGTTTTAAGTATGTTTTATAAGAAAATTATATTTTGGTGTTTCTACTTCAAAACTTTTTGTTTAATTAAATGTTACTTGCTGATTCTTTTAAATTTTTTTATGAAATGTATTAGCAATTTCTCACTGAAACTAAAGTAAATCCTACACCAATTTTTTTCTTTATTCACTTTTTTTTTTCACTGAATATCATGGTAACCCACTAGTCACATGACTTCAGTATTACCAAATCCTTCAGAA